GGAGTCAAGACCAGGGTTTGAGTAATGACTCAGCCAAGTGCTAGTGAAGAAACATTGAGTCTCAATGTCCTTATCTGTAAAATGATCGTTAGATTGACATGATTGTTATGAAGAGTAAACAAGTATATTAGTAAAAATGGCTAGAAGTACTGCACACATTGAGTATTAATGTGTACATAAGACTCATCTCTGACCTGAAAGGAGAAAGCCCAATGAGCTGAAGATTCTTAAAAGGGAACCACAAATTAGTCTAGAAGGTTGCTTGGAGAGAGAAGCAAACAATAGGAAGAATCTAGACACTCCACCTCAGGGAAAAAAAAAGATTGATAAAATTAACCTTGATTTTCATCCGTTAGCTTGATAAACATCGAATTGTGCTACTATTAAATATTCTGCAATCATTTCAGTGTGGACAAGGAATTGGTTTCAAGTTGTTCCGTATGTTTTTCATTAGAGGTCTTCAAAAGCTTTCAGAGGTAAACACCGACTTAATATGTTTTAGCAAACTAAGCAATTTTGAAAGTATGGGAAACTTAATCCAAGAAATTATTTCAGTAATAGGAACCAAAATTTACTGAGCCCTATTATGTCCTCTGTGCTTTCTATGTCCTATCTCTGATCCTCACGCAATGTTGTTAAGATTAACAGATAAGGGTGGGCTAAGAGGGTTTTACTAACTTGGCCAAGGTCACACGTGTAGAAAGTTGGCAGAGTGGGACTGGGAACCCACATTTGAGAGACTCCAAAATTCACAGCCAAGTCTTGCTTTCGGGCTGAAGGAAGACCCCACAGAAAAGGGGCCCATGACCAAACCTGGGCAGTCCTAGAGGGCTTTCAGGAGGACGTGATGTTTGAACAGAGTCTCAGAAGGAAGAATGGGAATCTTGAAGGCAGTTAGCAGAGTGGGCAGGAAAGGCCAATAATAAAGGACTGATGGCACTTTATGTCTTACAAAGTACTTCCACGTGCAAGTTCCCATTCTATTTCCAGGAAAGAATTTCCATCTTTCCCATCTAATAGATATAAACAAGTCATATTGGAGGTACAGTGATTTGCTCAAGGACACAGAAAAAGTAAATGTAGCACCAGAGCTCAAAGTTGGCTCTCCAGTTGTCAGATCCTGGGCTCACGTTCTAGTGCTGTGGCAGCTACAAACAAAAAAAATCTTCATTACATATTTTCCATTATTACCTCATTTCTAACTTTATCATATCTTCCCTACCCTTATTGTTTTCTGTTACTTCACCTACTTCTTTTTCTTTCATTTTATCATCATGTTGCACATATATGTGTAGGCTTGCTCAAACTAATTTTCAGTGAACTAGGGCATAAACTGATAAAAACTTCAATGCCCACAAAAAATAAATTGTGTTGATGTTTTATATTCCCATCTAGTTTTGGGCTTTAGGAAACCACACCTTTATCCAATTGTGATGTTAAGGGATATAGAGTCTTGCAGATTGTTAACTTCATCGAATGCTCCAACAGAAACATGTCTGCGTGTTGCTAGTCTTCTTGATCATGATTTTCCATGACTCTTTTTTTTTCTGTAAAGGAGACATGGCCATACCCACCTGACTGGACATTCAGACTGGTTCTTCACTGGTTTTTCAAGGCTAGTGGATCATGAGGGTCCTGTAGGATTTCTCACTATGATAAGCCTTCCCACTGCAGCCTCTTCCACTGCCATCACATCTTGTCCATACCATTCTAGGGTTGTGGGTATTGTACGAGTCAATTTGGGACCTCATTCAGGGTTCTTAACTCAGCTAACTGCATGTCTTTTCTGTTTTATCGGGCTCTAGCCTGTAAGTTCCCTGGGTCTTGGTTACGTAAATCACCTCAAATCCTGTTTTGGAACAAGGTATGGTATAAAAAAGAGAGTGAATGCACTTCCTGGGAGGATAAGGAGTCTGTTTACAAATGGTACAGCACTTCTGTGCAAAATTAATGATTTCCTGCTTATGAAAATTGCATATGTTAATCTATTAGGTGCTGATATAAACAATAAGGTGTGTAGTTTCAACCCAAGGCTTTGGAACAAAGGTTTCTTTTTCTTTTATCTAACCACCAGAGAGGATATGGATTCTCGAGAAATCTGAGGGAGCCCTGAGGGAGGCACTCTAGGGAAGCAGTTATAAGCTACACAGTATAATGAGCCAGATGGATCCAGATTTGACTCCCAACCTTGCTTTTAATGGCTGTGAGCCTCTGGACAAGTTGTTTATCCTCTGTGAGCCATAGTTTCTATATCTTTACCTTCTTTAGAAGGTTGTTTAGAGATTAAATAAGACCCAGTATATAGTGAGGGGTCAGTAAATGTTAAGATTATCATTGGGATAATTTCTTTGAAATAACAATTTTAAAACTTTGAATACAAAATGATGGTGGACCTTACATGGTCATAAGGCACAAATAATGAACGAAATGGAGTGATCAGAGTTTCCACTGAGGTCTTGTTTTTCACTTTTTCGCAGTGTGATTTCACTGGGAAGAAAATTAGGCCTCTAACTGTGGATACAGCCTGCAGCTATGGGCTTAAATGAATGAATGACTGGAGCATATTCTTGCGAAAGTAATTTAATTTCCCTGTATCTTACTGTCTGTTCTGTAGAAAATTAACTCATGGAAAACTAGTGGTTTTGAAAAAACTTTTAGATAGAGACTGGGTTTCCAGTCATGCTTATGTTATTCTATGAACATGAAGAGCGCTGGCTGTATAATGACTCACATCCCATGTCCTGCTTTTGGTGGCATTTACCCACTGATGAAATGTTTCTGTATTCCTGTCATGAAGCCCTTGAAAGAGCCATTTTCATTGAGATCTAATCAGAAGTGAATGGGCACATTGGCAGGACGTAATGCTGGTGTGCTCTGCTTTAGAGAAGACCATTTTCCCACTAATTTGCAGATTGGTGTGAAGAATCAGAGGAAATGATTCAGTGAAAGACTCCAGGGACTCCTCTGCCTGGAGTTTGACTTTGGTAGAAATGGTTACTGCTCCCTGGTTGCTTGATTCATGCTTGTCCCATAAAAAAAAAAGCATATACTAACAGAGAACAGTGATCAATTAAGAACGAAAATATGAATTACTAACAAGGGAAAACATTCACTCTCCTTACCTGTAAGGATTTGGAAATAATGACACTCACTCCAAAGCAAGGATAGTGGAAAATACTTAATAGCAGCATGAGTTGCTTTAATAACTAACATTCTGGGTGTAAAGTGCAATACAAGCCATACACACACAATATCTGACACACAACAGACTTCGCGAGTTATATTGAACCGAGTGAATGAAAGGGAGAAGGAAGGATGATATTAGCAGAAAGCTGGGATGCGGGAAACTGGGTATGATTCCTAGTTTGAATGACACTAGACAAGTCTCTAAACCTAAGCTTCAGTTTCTCATCTGGTAAACAAGCAATGTCCACCTCCTTGGTTTGCTGTGAGAAATTGAACAATGCAGTTTGAGGGCTATATGGTTAAAAGCACCTGACAGTCATAAGACCTGGATTGTAGAGCAGGCTCAGTTCAATATAATTCACTCAAATATTTACTGAGCACTTATTACTTGCCCGGCATTGTATTCCAGGTGCTGGAATTGGTTAAAAGATTAATAAGACAGCTAGGTTTGTTCCTTGTATAGGGCAACTAGGATGGAGGCAGACCCAGATTTTGAATCCTTACACTTTTATTTTACCTACATTCAGAAGAGGTCCCCCAGACTCCCTGAATGAGTTGTCCCAGTCCTTGCCCTCAAGAAACCCAGAGTCTATCAGGAGAGACAAACCCATAAACCAAAAATTCCAAAGCAGCACGCTAAATGCAGCCATGGCGGTACATAAAGTGGGGGGTGGGGGGGTTGTAGAGGGGGAGTTGGGTAAAGGGTCCTGAAGGGGATCCTGTCTGGCTGAATTATGGAAAATAAACAGGAGTTCCTACAGAGAGAAAAAGCAGAGGAAGGGCATTTCAGATCCAGGAAGCATTACATGCAAAGAAAGCCAAATAAACAGGAAGTTGCTAGTCCCAGGTTCTGCCATTAACTGGCTTTATTTAACTTTTATGGAATTTCCTCAAGTCTCTCTGGGCTTCCAGTTTTCTCGTATTAGAAAATGAAGGTTGTTGAGCGGAGGGTGATGTGTGGAATGAGGAAACAGGTTTTCTGTAAGGGTCTTTAAAAAAAAAAAAAAGAGTTTGAAGATTTTATTCATGAGAGAGGCAGAGACCCAGGCAGAGGGAGAAGCAGGCTCCCCGCAGGAGGCCCGAGGGGAGCCTCGATCCCAGGACCCCGGGGTCACAACCTGCGCGGAGGGCAGGCGCCCGGCCACCGAGCCCCCCAGCTGCCCTGGAAGGGGCTTTCTAACTAGTCCCTTCCTGCTGAAGCAGAGAGAAAAGGGGTAACCTTGGGAACAATAAGTGTTATTTTTACGGTATGAGCAGAGGCCCCACCTTTTAGGACCCAACATGACAGGCTGCGTTCATCCAGCGGTTTGGCCCTGTTCACCCCCTGCCCCAGTACTGCGGGCGCTCACTGCGCCGGGGACGAGGGGCCACCGTCCAGCAGGGGGAGCCGCGGGAGCGCGCGGGCACCGCGGACCGGACCCCGCACGGCGGGCGCGGGGAGGCGCTCCGGAAGGACCAGGGCCTGAGCTCCCAGCCAGAGGGAACGTCCCTTCTCCCAGAGCCGCCAGCTGCCCCCGGGCAGGGCAACGTTTCCCAGGCCGGCGTACGGGGCGCGCCCCGCGGAGCGGACGCGGCCCGGGGCCACGGGGGGTCGCAGCGGGCGCCCGCGGCGGGGCCCGGGCAGCGGGCAGGGCGGGCTCGGAGGCGGGCGGGGGAGCGCCCGCGGGGGCTGGGCCGCCGCGGGCCGGCTGGGCGGGACTCGGCCGCCGCTATAAGACGGGGCGCCACTGTCCCCGCCCGGGGGCTGAAGCTGGCGCGCCCGCCCGGACCGGAGGCGCCGCCTGCCCTGGCAACTCGCGCCCCGGGGTGGCGGCAGAAGACGGGAAAGGTCTGCTTCCGAGTCCTCCGGCTGCCTAGTACCGGTGACTGGAAGGCGGGCAGGCCTGGGGGAGCGGGACAGCTCGGCCCGGATGGCCGTCCGTGCCCTCCGACGGCCCGGGGCGCTGCCGCCACTCCCCGGGGGGCCCGGGCGCCCACACTCACCGACTTCTCTCCCCCGCAGGAGCGCTCCCCGCCACGCCCGGCCCCGCAGCCTCCGACCATGCGGCTCCTCGGCAAACTCCGCCCCGCCCCCGCGGAGCCCGCTTGCTCCAACGTGCTCACCCCGGCGCGCATCCCCGAGTTCTGCATCCCGCCGCGGCTGCTCCCGCCCTGCGCGCCCGAGTCTCCGCCTCCCGCCGCCGCCCTGCCCCGGCGCTGCGCCGCGGAGCCCGACCTGTGGCCGCGGGGAGCCGACGCTGCGGCCGGACACACGGACTGGGACCCGCGCTCGCAGGCCGCGCTCTCGCTGCCGCACCTGCCCCGCGGGCGCACCGCCTACGGCTTCTGCGCGCTGCTCGAGAGTCCGCACACGCGCCGCAAGGAGTCGCTCTTCCTCGGCGGCCCCGGCGCCGCCCCGCCCCCGCCCCCGCCGCCGCCCCCGCCCCCGCCCCCGCCCCCGGGCGCAGCCCCGGCCGCCGCCGCCCCCGCGCTCCCCGCCCGCCCCCGCCCGGCGCCGCGCGCGCCCGCCCCGCCGGCCCGCGCCCGCCGCCTCCTGCGCGCCCCCGAAGGGCTGCTGAGCCGCGCGCTGCGAGCCCGGGGGAGCCGCGGCCTGGCCCGCGCCCGCTCCGCGTGCGGCGGGGACCGGGACGGCCGCGGGGACGAGCCGCCCGCCGGGACCCGGGCTCCCTCCCCCTCCCCCTCCCCCTCCCCGCCGCCGCCCGGCCCCGGCCCCGACCCGCGGCCCGAGCGCCTGGAGGCCGAGGGCACCGTGGCCCTGGGCCGCGCCGGGGGCGCCCTGCGCCTGGCCGCCGAGTACAGTCGGGCCAGCGGGCGGCTCCGCGTGCGGCTGCTCGGCGCCGAGGGCCGGGCCGCGGGGGCCGCGGGGGCCGCCGAGGCCGCCGAGCCCCGCGCCGTCGGCTGCCGCGTGAGCTTCGTGCTGCGGCCGCCGGGCCAGACGCGCCCGCAGCGCAGCGCCGTGGTCCGGCCGAGCCGCGCGGCCGCCTCGGAGCAGGACGTGTGGCTGGACGGGCTGTCGGAGGAGCAGCTGCGCCGCCTGGCCGTGCGCGTCCAGGCGGAGGAGCGGGGCCGCGGCCGCGAGCGGGGCCGCCTGCGGGGCCAGGGCGAGCTGCTGCTGGGCGCCCTGCTGCTCCCCGCGGGGCCCGGCCTCCGACCGCCGCCGCGCGCGACATAGCTGCTATTTATTCATTTTTCTATTTGAAAGCATTTTTTTCTATGGGAAGCATTTTTCTATTGCTTTATTGACGTCTCAGTCTTTAGGTGTCTGTTTTTGTCGTTGTTTGTTGGTAGTGAAGGAAAAGAAAGTTCTTCTCTGTTCACAGAATCCAATCCATGTTGGGATTTTTCCAGACCATGTTTACATTCAAAGGCAAAAAAGTATCGGCGTGTGGCTGGAAGGGAGCAAAAGGAACTACGCCCTGTCTGCCCTGATTATCCTCCCTGCTTTATGTCAAGGCTAAAAGTTGGTTATTTTTTAAAGTGGTTCCTTCAGAATCCTGCCCGATGCTGGGATTCACATTAGCAGCTGCGCGTGATGCCCGTGGCATAGGTTCACGTCCTGTCCTCACTGACGCATGCACATCAGAGCCAGACGTTCTGTAGTAAGGATACCTTGGTAGGAAAAGAATTTCTTTCTCATTAAGAAAACCGGTTTCTTTTGAAAGTGAAATCTTAAAAAAAAAAAAAATGCTAAGGAAAAGAAAAAGGAAGCAAAGGATCTTTCAAAGGATGGTCATGGGGGGAGTAGATATTCCTAGCATCCCCTTCTTCCTTCTCCAGAAGGGGCCCTGGGAAAATCTTGCTGTTTGAGAAATCTTTTCTGCCTCTGTAAACGTTTGATAATTTTGTGGTATTATCTCCACCTATTTATGTATTATGTAAGTTACATAGTAATTAAAGCCTCTGTGATAGGGTTTCCTAGATGAATTGAAATGTAAACCATCAACTTTTTGAGCACTGGATTTAAAGAAAGGGTTTCTTAATCCAATTTATTTTCATTTGTCGATTCAACAAATAGACCTGAGTCCACTGGAAAATGATTGTATCCCGGAGGGTATGCCCTCCACTGTAGGCCTCTTTGGTGTGGTGGAAAGCACAATGCAAGGCTGGAGGGGGATATAGATTCCAGTCTTTCTTTGGTCACTTGCCAGTTGTGTGAACTGGGGCAGATTGGTTCACGTCCCTGAACCCCATTTTACATCAGTGAAATAAGGGTGTTATACCGGCTTCACAGGATTTTGTAAAAATACAATTTTATATCCAAATGACCCTTAAATACATGTGAAATGTGTTAAGCATACCTGAAAAGACTTGAACTGTATTGGTGAATACATAATGTTCCAGAAAATGATCTCCTGTACTTATTTTTTTTCTTTCCAATTGTTTCTCCCTGGTCCTGGAGTGGAGCCTAGCAGAATGGATAGCTACCTGATATGGAAGATTTATGGGAGCCAGGAGTGGGAATATAGAACCCTTCAGGATTCCTGTGGTAAACATCCCTATGAGCAATATAGTTTGTGCTCATTCTGCATCAAAAAGCCCATCAGCACTGATACCAGAATGAGGTTCTAGGTATGAATTTGGTCAGAATAAGCCAATAAAAAAACCTGGATTTTAAACATGATTGCAAAGTGGAAAAATGATCCCTTAGAAATCATTTAATCAAATGACTTCTGAAATTGGGAAAATAGCGCAGTGGTGGTGAGGTGCCTAAAGTCGAATAGCTAGGGACTGGCTAAGCTCAGGTAAGAACCAAATTGCCCTGACTTCTCCAGAGGACTGACCTCCCTTTTGTTCCCTCATTTTATTTATTTATTTATTTATTTATTTATTTATTTATTTATTTATTTATTTATTTATTTATTTATCTATCTGTTCATTCATTCATTCCTCATTCAACAATGATTTGTTGAACCCTTTCTCTGTGACAGGCATAGTACTAAGCCCAGGGGATGCAGCTATGAAAAAGACGGACAAGATTCCCGTTCTCGCAGGACTTAGTTTTAATGGGGGTAGCCAAACAATAGCCAAGTTTGGTTATTACAGATTGTGGTGACCATCATGAACACAGTAAACTACAGAGGGTAAGAGACAAGTGGCAGATGGGATTCTCTCAGAGACAGAGTGGGCAGGGAAGGTCTCCCTAAGACTGGAGGAAGGAATCATACCCAAGAGAAACTTAATCTATACAAATAACCACTTAATGTGTCCAAATGACCCCCTTAATGCATCAGACCAGAATTCTTGATTTTTCTCCTCTCAGATCTCCTTTCTCCCTAGTCTTCCTTATTTCAATAAATGGCAATGTCATTCTTCCTTTTTTGCAAGCCAGGAACCTGGAATCATCCTTAGCTTCTCTCTCACACATTCCATTTTTCTTGGGTATAAATGTCTCCTCCTTAGAGTATCCTCCCCTGCCCATCCTATCTTTAAAAACATCACTGTTGCTATTACTGCTTTATTCTTCATAGCACTCATCACTACCTGGCATTATATTATACCCTTATTTTGTGTTGTTTGTTTACTTCTCCTCCACCAACAAGTATGCTTTCTAACGCAGGAACTTTGTTGATTCATTGCTTTATTTCCAGGGCATAGAGCAGAGTCTGGCATCTGGTAGACTCTCAATACAATTGATTGAATGTTGAACAAATATAGAAAGAGATGGAATAAACATAAAAAAGTAGAGGACCTAGGACCAGGCCTTGAAACAAATCAACATTTAGAAATTCAATACAGGAGGAACGTCAGTGTAGGAGAAAGAGAAGCAGTAGCCAACGAGACAGGGAAAGACCAGGGGACTGTGGAGTCATGGAAGCTAAGAAAGTATTCCAAGCAGGCTATGTCCACCCCACTGAAATCCTGCAAGGAAGTAAAGAAAAATGAGAACCAAGAAATGCTCACTGGCACTGGCAAGATGAATGAAGGTCAGTAGTGAAGTTGATAACAGTCCTATGAGAGTAGTCATAACAGGAGCTGGACTGGAAGGGGTGAAACTGTGAATGGAAGGTGAGAAAATATACCTGGGAAGTTTTAGAAAAGGGGGAGGGGCCATAGGTAGAAGAAAATATAGAATCAAAGATTTATTTTGTTTTAATATGAAAGAATCCAACACATGTTTGAAATATCCCAAATAGAAGGAGATGTTGATAGTGACAAAAAAGAAAACCAGAAATAAAACTGTAGGAACAGAGTCTCTGGAAAATAAGAGAGGATCCAGAACATATGTGGGTAGAAGCAGTGATCAAGAATTCATGTTCCTGATCCATACCTTGTTCCAATCTCTATTCTCCCATCCATAGCATCATTCCATCCTGAGGAAGGTCACACTCGTACTGTTAGGATATTGGCCAGGAACAGCTGGGATCCTGATCTCAGGGTCATGGGATCAAGTGCTGCTCCAACTGGGCACCAAGGGTGAAGCCTGCTTAAATTTCTCTTTCACTCTTCCTCTGCCCCTTCCCCCATCTCAAATAAATCAATACATCTTTAAAGAAAAAAAAAAGGAAGGAAGGAAGGAAGGAAGGAAGGAAGGAAGGAAAGGAAGGAAGGAAGGGCTGCAGTACTAGAAAGAGCAGAAAGTTTGACGCCAAAAAGAGCTAGCTTCAAATCTAGGCACTGCAACTAGGTAGTTGTATGATCTTGGGGCAAATGCTTAACTTCTTTGTATCAGTTTTGTTTGTCCTTTCGAAAATATTGGGTGTGAAGATGACCAGGGTTAAAAGAGATAATTGCAGTTATAGCGAGATTCATATTAACAGGGGTAGGCACTCTTTAGATATCATTTGAACATCCCCTCTTTCGTTCATGCAAATGAGTATAATTTTGCGGGATGGCCTTGTACACATCCACGGGTTCAGTCTTAAGGCTGTACAAAGGGCAGTCTACTGGGAACATAGCTGGGTGACTGCACTAATTGACACAAACACAAAGAATTACATCTTTCCATTCCACTGGTTGTGTATTTCAGGCTCCATCTGTCATGTTCCAGAAGGAGGAACAACAGCTCAGCTGATGTGTGCTAACATCCAAACATTACTACCAGGGGTTTTTCATCCTTCGAATAGCAAGGCTTTGATAAGATATCCTTATGTGACCAGGCACTGGTATTTATCCTAACATGGAAAATCCATGTTTTATTTTCTTTGGCAAAAAGAACAGTGTTTATTTTCCAGATTGGCAACAGTTCCTGATTTTAAAAAGAACCAGTGTCTCCTTGTCCCTATCACCAGGAGATGGTGCCTGATTTGTCTAAATTGTCCAAGTGGTGCTCTGGAGCTTCATTTATTTCTCCTCCTGGTCACCTAGACCAGAGCCACCATATCGTCCTCCTTTGCTCAATCTGCTCCATACTGCTCTCTTCACCATTATCACATTTTTAAAGAGTTTTAAATAATGCAAGGGATATAGAACAGTTGCCAAAGCAGTACAAAGAATTCCCATATGTCTCTCAGCCATATTCTCTAAATATTTATTTTATTATCATTCTATCTATCTATCTATCATCTATCTATCTATCATCTTCTTTTCCTGAAATATTTGGGAATGAGTTGCTGACATGTGCCCTTTTATCCTCAAATATTTGTGTATTTCCTAAAAATAAAGCTCTTCCCTTATAAAAATCAGGGAATTAATGTTGATTCAATAGTATCAGACAATGTACAGATGCTATTCAAATTTTTCTAATTAGCCAATAATCTTTGGGTGTATCTTTAAGAAGAAAATCCAGGATTTTCTTCCTGGATCACAAGTTGCATTCAATTGGCATGTCTCTTCAATCTTCTTTAATCTCAGGCTTTCATGATCTTGACATTTTCTATAAGGTCTTAAGTTTATTTGTCTGATACTCCCTTGTGATCAGATGTAGGCTATGCTGTTCGGGCAGAAATGGCACAGAAGCTATACATCTTCTTAATGCACCATATCAGAGGCACGCTATATCAATTTGTCTTATTACTAGTGACATTAACCAGACTTCTTTACTGTAAAGATTATTATTTTCCTCTTTATATTTAATAAATCTCTCATGAGAGATATTGTGAGACCCTGTAAATAGCCTCTCATCGTCCTTTTACTTCCCAGATTTAAGCATTCATCAGTGATTCTTGCCTGAAACATTTATTACTACAGAGATTGCCAAATGGTAATTTTAGAATTTCATCTTTTTAAAAAAATATTTGTTAGTTGAAATTTTAACTTTGCTTTCTCCCTTATTTATTTATTTATTTATTTATATCTGTATGGACTCATGCGTTTTTAAATTTATTCTATGGGTTATAACCCATTGCAATTATTTATTTTGGTTCCACATTTGACCTGTGGGAGCTGCTTCAAGCCGGCTCTTGTGTCCTTGTTATATCTTCATAAAACACTTATTTTCTGGATCTAAAATTTATTCCAGGTTCATCTTACACTTCTGATACCCCAATCCTGGAATCAATTTCTCAAGGCATTTTTGATTTCTTATATTGATTGATGGTACTTAGAAACCAAGATCAACTAAGTACATCTATGGCTACTGGGGTGTCATTGCTTCTAAGCTCTAAAATGTACACACACACACACACACACACACTCTCTCTCTCTCCTATCTATATTTGCACATTTTTTAAAAAAGATTTTATTTATTTATTTGACAGAGAGAGAGTACAAGCTGAGGGAGTGACAGACAGAGGGAGAGGGAGAAGCAGGCTCCCTGCTGAGCAGGGAGCCCAATGTGGTACTCAATCCCAGGACCCTTCAGCTCATGACTTGAGTTGAAGGCAGACACTTGACCAACTGAGCCACCCAGGTGACTCTGCACATCTATCTTGAAAAAAGAAGAAGAAGAAGAAGAAGAAGAAGAAGAAGAAGAAGAAGAGGAAGAAGAGGAAGAAGAGGAAGAAGAGGAAGAAGAGGAAGAAGAGGAAGAAGAGGAAGAAGAAGAGGAAGAAGAAGAATTTAAACTGAACCATCATCTAATTTAATTTCCTAATACTCTGCTTTCACCATAAAGAAAATCCTCCCACATCTATACCATACTCAAAATTGTTAGTATTAAGATTTAAGATGCACTGTAGTCTATACCAAACCCAGGTCCTCCAGCATTACCCTCCTGAATGTCCTTCCCTGCTATTCCTCTGCCATGAAGAGAGTATCTGCTTGCTGTGCAATGAATATGTCTCTATGTTATCCTGAACAGATTTGTACTATTAGAATTATTCATTGTGAGCATAAATTAAAACTAAGACATTAGTAACAAGACATCAAGCTTGCTAAATGTCTAAAAGAAAGGATTAATCAATTAAAGTAAGTATTTGACATAAAAGTTTATACACAAGAACCGACAGCTGGGGAGTACAGGTGATCATATAAGGAGTTTTATTCTGATTGGAAAAGACTGGTCTTGAAGAAAACATACCAGAAAAACGTGGAGTTTGTGAAGCTTTGCTAGAGCTGTAATCCCTCTGCTGTGGCCTTAGCATTTGAAAGGGCTGTAAGTCACACTTGGTTCTTGGAGAAGTATGACAATGATACCCAGCATCCAACTTTGGACTCCCAGTCACCCACTTGTCCACATTAAGCCCCCTCAGGTGGTGAGGGGAGCACTCTCTCTCCCAATCTTCCTCTTCTCCCACATCCCCTAAGTGTTGTATTTCCTGCTCTCCTATAAATGGATCTAGGAAAGAAGGGCCAGAGACAGATAGAAAGAAGAGAGAAAATATTAAAAGATAAGCTGAGGCATTTTATGAATTTTAGGAGTTTATTTGAGCAAAAATCATTTCCAATTGGACAGCACCAAATTGGAAGCAACCAGAAGCAAGAGGGTTGACTTATATGGAGAAGGTGCAGAAACAAAGAAAGGACATTATTTGACTGGCTACAGTGTCAAGCCTAGTTGGCTGTTTGTGATTGCTTGTCATTATGTTTCAGTTTTATAGCCTTGAGGCTTAGATTTGGGCTTGTTTATGTAGGACACCAGATTAGAGTCACTGCAGTCTAATGGCTTTCTTGTTTAATTTAATGAGAGAGAGAGAGAGAGAAAGAGAGAGAGGGAAAGAAAGAAAGAAAGAAAGAGAAGCAAAGCAATAGAAATAGATGTTATTTAATTTTTTTTAAATGTGATTTAACCTTTTGTGATACAGCAATTTAAAAATTCTGATTCAAGGACACCTGGGTGGCTCAGTGGTTGAGTGTCTACCTTTGGTTTAGGCGGTGATCCTGGGGTCCTGGGATTAAGTCCAGCATTGGGCTCCCTGCAGGGAGCCTGCTTCTCCCTCTGCCTATGTCTCTGCCTCTCTCTCTCTCTCTCTCTCTCTCTCTCTCTCTCTGTGTGTGTGTGTGTTTCTCATGAACTGGTGAAGTCTTAAAAAAAATCACTTAAGAATAAAAACATTATTTTCAAAATGTTTTCTCTCCAGCAGGAGTTTCTTTTCTAGGAAGGCAGTTACTTCTTCACTCACTGGCCAACTTCTTGTCAGTCCATTAAATTTTTTAGTGTTTTTAATCACGTCAGGTGGTCTACAAAGAACTCAGACCACGAATATGAAAAGTATCAGATTGACTATGTTCTTACTCTTGATCATGTTTACATTATAGCATTTTACTGATCTGACATTTCTTTGCATAAATATTTCAAAATTCACTATCCATTTTGTGGTGGTTATCTTTGTCAAAATTTAATAATATAAAATGTCAATCAATGAAACCAAGCACCAGCAAGTGCCGTTGACTTACTATGCTGAAAGCAAAGGGCTGAGGAACCCTCCTTTTTCCTGAGAATCTTTTACCATCTGGACCAACAAAGGACACTGTGACAGTGCTCATTGTTAATACTGAGAAAACTTAATTTCTTGCTTTTAAGATAAAAATATAAACAAATGTATTGATATCTTTTTTCCATACTGCAATGGATTATCTTGCACGTAATACATTCTGAAGACGAATATTCTAGGCTTTTAGTTGTTAAGGAGACCAAGTATCTTATTTGGAAGATAAACCTATTTATTAACTGAAAGAAATTAATTTGGTCCTTAATATAGAAATCAAAGAATTTGAGACCTGAACAGATGATTTCACTGAGAATGAGCAATACTCTACGTAAATGCTGGCCCTTTTTGAGGTGAGTAAATACAGTAAATGGTTGAATCCTTGTACCTGTACCTTGTCTGACAATTGGTTTCTGACCATTCTCTTTCAACTGACTCTCTGAATCTTTATTCAAATCAGTAATGGTATTTATTGGTTGTCATCACCTGGTACTCGTTGTTCTGTGTGGTAATAATATCTGATTTCTTATGTGGAATCACTCTTCCCATTCACTCAGTCCTTATGTTTCAGACAGTGTTGATTCCATATCAAGTTTCAGGGGTGGGTCTGACACAAGCCTGGCCAATAAGAGTATTTCATACATTCGGTCACAGTGATTAATTAGAATCAGATACAAATGCCACCTAATTTGGCCCACTGAGATTCAGACTTGGGAGTTGCTTTTAAATTTTTGAGATGCAGACAAAGTATTTTCTGCTGAATTTGCTCCTGACAGGACACAGGTCTGGAGCTCTCAGGAGCGACCTTGCCAATACATAGAACCCAAGGATAAAGCCAACATGAAGAAGAGCATAGCGATAAATGAAGAATCAGTGTTCCAGTGACATCACTTGCATTCAGAAACAAGATAAGAGCTAACTGTGACTGTAGCCAGCTTACCCCAAACTTTTTAAATTTTAAAAAAGATTTTATTTATTTATTTGTTTGTTTATTTATTTATTTATTTATTATTTATGGGAGAAAGAGCACAAGCAGTGGGGAGGGGTTGAGAGAGAAGCAGACTCTCCACCCAGCAGGGAGCCTGATGTGGGGCTCCATCCCAGGACTCCGAGATCATGACCTGAGCCGAAGGCAGACACTTAAGCCACTGAACCATCCAGGTGCCCCTCATTTTTTTCTTTATTCACAATATATTTTATTTTTATTTTTATTTTAATAATAAATTTATTTTTTATTGGTGTTCAATTTCCCAACATACAGAATAATACCCAGTGCTCATCCCGTCAAGTGACCACCCAGTCACCCCCCACCCCTGCCCTCCTCCCCTTCCACCACCCCTAGTTTGTTTCCCAGAGTTAGGAGTCTTCATGTTCTGTCTCCCTTTCTGATATTTCCCACACATTTCTTCTCCCTTCCCCTCTATTCCCTTTCACTATTATTTATATTCCCCAAATGAATGAGACCATATAATGTTTGTCCTTCTATTTAAAGTCGAGTGTGTGGTTTACAGAACTAAAAACACTCCATTTGATTTTACAGAGATCTGTCTTAGAACATGAAAAAATTTTCCTTGGCCAAAGTACTTCATCTGCGTAAGCCTCAGCTCTATGTTGCAGTTATTCTAAAGATGAAAGGAGATGCAGGTCCGTGTATAATAGCCTGGGAACTATGGTGGGGCAGCTGGGAGGACTGGGGGCTGTCAGGGGCCTGCCCTCATGCAGGGAAACAGGTGAGAGAAAGGGTGAGAGAGGCAGGCTAACTTGGAGATGGGGATTTAGGGACGTTCATAATAGAAATGAGGGTGATGTAGATGACGAACACACATGGTGTGCTTACTATCAGGGTGCCATGCCGAGGACTTCCCATGCTTGTGTATACTTCATTCCCACAACGTTCCTCTACCTGTGAGGTGAACACGAACAGAAAACTAAAGTCCAGAAATAAAAGCCTAGATTTTCACGGGGAGCCTTTGTAGAAATGAGCCTTTAATACAGATTGTGGGGCAGCCCCAGTGGCTCAGCGGTTTAGCGCCGCCTTCAGCCCAGGGTGTGATCCTGGGGACCCGGGATCCAGTCCCATGTCGGGCTCCCTGCATGGAGCCTGCTTCTCCCTCTGCCCGTGTCTCTGCCTCTCTCTCATTCTCTCTGTCTCTCATGGATAAATAAATAAAATCTTTAAAAAAAAATACAGATTGTGCAGGGTAGTCCTTAAGAGCAGGGATTTTGGAATTTGATTGTCTTTCTTCTAGCACTTAGGTGCGGTGACTCAGAGATTTACTTTTTCCCCTCTGTGCCTGGGTTTTCTCATTTTTTTTTAAAAAGTTTTTATTTATTTATTCATGAGAGACACAGGGAGAGAGAGAGAGGCAGACACAGAAGCAGGCTCCCTGCAGGGAGCCCAACGTGGGACTCGATCCCGGGACTCCAAGATCATGCCCTGGGTGGAAGGCGGTGCTAAACTGCTGAACCACCCCGGCTGCCCGGTCTTCTCATTTTGAAACAGATGTAGCATCCTCTACTTTGGAGAGTTCTTGTGGGGATTAAGTCAGTGGGTAAAGTGCTAGCCTATTCCTAGTCTCGATGCAGACACCAAGCACCTGGTCCAGTTGCTCCCATTCCACTGGGACTGAGGTGAAAACACCTGAGGCACCCCAAACCAGCGCAGGGCCTCATTCCTAGCTGGAAGTCTCGATGGCCAGCTCTTCCGGCTGACTTTGCCCGAGGCGGACTTCTGTTTCAGTGTCTGACGTTTTCAAGATGTTGGCCCCACAGCCCCAGCCCCTGACTCGGGTAACTCGGGGTCTGCCCTGCCTGACCCTGGCCCGCTGCAGAGATGCTGAGGCGAATTCTGCACACCTGTCAGGTAGGTCCCCATCCTTGGAGTGATCAACGGTGCCGGAGACTGCAGGTCTCACTCCTGCGATCGAATGTTCCTGTCTTT